TTTCGCGAGAAGCTGGCTTTACCTGGAACAGTTGAACCGCCACGACGAATGGACAACACGAGACTCGCCACGATTTAAAAGGAATAATCGTTCGTCCTTTGTGCCGAAGGTCTACACGAGGAACGCGCGCGGCATAAGGGGACACGTGGAGGCATACGTGGCTGCCTTCGACAAGCACTGGAACCTCGCGCTCGAGGACTGCTTTGAGGTTTGGACTCGTAAAGTGAAGAGGAAAGCACCTGCTCTTGGTAATTTGTATTCTTTTTCTGTATCACTTTTTTTCTCTTCCGCTTTGTTTTTTTTTTTTTCTCTCGCTTGCGCCTCGTCGATCCGAAAGTCGAATTCTTCGGTTCGATTGTACAAAAACGCAGTCGGACAAACGAGATGACGATGTTATTGCAGAGTGACTCGGATTATTAAAACAACGTTCGATTTGACGACGTTTTCATTTATTTTATTTTAGATTTAGCACGTAGTATCTGACGATGAATCAGACATCATTGGGATGCTAATACAGTCTATAAAAAGCGGCTGAAAGCTATAACCTCCGACATTTGTACAACATAGCAGCTCGTCTTGCCCGTGATTCGAACGCGATAGGCGGCGCGTGAGGCGCGATACGGCCCTGGAAAAATTGAATCTCTGACTCTCTGACGGCCACTCAAGGCCTGTCGCCGAGGAATTCTAAACAATGTCGTGGGTTCAATGAAAAGTCGAATAGCCGTGATTAAAAAATACTATCGACCTTTTCTTCTGTCCTTTTTTACAGAAAAAAGAGAGGAGAAAAATAATGAAAAAAAGAAATATTTTCTGAATTGCCTCGAAGAACAATTCGCGTTTCTGCAGTGCGTTAACGCTTTCTGATGATCAACGCAACTGATATCGACGATGTACGAAGCAATTCGTCATCCGCTTCACGGTTACATTATTTTTAACAACAGTGCGTGTTCGCGTTTATGCGAAAACGTATTCGTATATCCATTGATCGACCTCGAAATGTTTCTATCCCACGATATATGTATATGTACAAATTGGCATGCAAATTTTTAGATTATACATAATGGACGCGGTTGCGCCGCGTGTGTCCAGAATTTTAACACGCCGTATCAATAGGCGTAGCAACGTTAGCGTGTATTCTTCGAGCCTAACGAGAATCCAATTTAGTCCTTCCTACACTCGCCTGACCATGAATGACTCCTACCACTGTCTGTGTCAATGGAACGTTCGCGTCTTCTTATTTACGCGGCTGATCGATGCACCGGTGTACGATGGCACGATGGCACTTTTCGTATTTTCTATCACCGTGCCTTCCGCCCCGTTGAAGCCAATTACAAGATCAATTAAAATCACGCGTTTGAATATTTTAACGCCCGATGTTCCATGTTGAATGGAAATTCTCGCCTAATAATAACTCGTTCGGCTCGGTTCGTCGATCTATTTTGAATACGTAATTAGCCACTCCTCTCGATAATGGAACACACACGAATGACGCGGGAATCGATAAAATTAATGAACGGCTTCCGGTTCGGCCGTTGCTTTATCATTAGCCACCTTTATTTACACGGGAAGAGAGAAGCACGGAGATAGTCAAGGGTCGTTGTATCGCGGGGGATACAATCCTCAGGACGCCCCTTTACGCTAAGGGGCAAAGACCGACCTTGACTACATAGTGGTTGCTACGTTCGATACAAGGCCCATGTGCTTCGCTCCGTCGTTCGTTTCCCTTTTTTTTTTCCCTTTCTCTCTCGCGTGCGCGCGCGTACATCCAACACCTCTTCATCGAACGCAAGAGGTCGCTCTCGGAGTCTCGCTCTTTTTCTCTGATTCGCCGTCCTCTCTCTCTCTCTCTCTCTCTC